GGGGGGGGGGCAATGGTCTGTGAATTCGCGAAACTATCATGTGTAGCCAAAAGTAGAAGGTGCTCAGTGACACGTGTTTATATGAGGTATGAGCTGATTGAGAACTACGATACCACCGACCAATTAGTGAAGAGGATAATTGATCAAAACATTCGGTTGTGTCAAAGCGAGTGAATTATGTGACAGTCAGTCAGTTAAGCGGCGATTTAATGAACGCTGGTGAAAACCCAAGATCTACGACTAATTTGATTAATTATTGACGATGATACACACATATAAGATTTGAGAACAAACTTGGTACGAAGGCAATAATAACGCAGCAATCAGAATGCACTCAATGATTGTCACAACGCCCCCTAAGCGAAGATGACACCAAACGCGGTACTACTTACTTACCTGGCATCTGCTTCACTGTAAAATTCCCGAGCGACAATATCCTCAAAGAGTTCACCGCCTGTGACGCTAAAAAAATATGGGGGAGAATGGAACAGAGAAATTAGTTCTATGCGCAAATCTGAGAACTCCGGATCAAAAATAGGGTATAAAAATAAGTATTCTTCAATGGATATTTTAGTTCAACAAAATATTATTTGCTCCAAGGAATGACAGATACATCACAGCATGATTATCGGTCACACTAAGTCCTGATAGTACAAAGACAACTATGCAATAACAAAACCAATCACCGTGTGCTGCTGCGGATGAAACTGTTTATCTTCCAATTTGTCTGCTCAAATTCATTACGGGATCTAAATGTTTCGGTTTTTTCAATTGAATAGCCCAGGTAGGTGGGGTGCTGGATAACTAATTTCACGTGATGAGCTTCAGTGTCAATGGAGTTGATGGATAAGCCGTGATGGTAACGATACAGCCGTTACCCCTAAGACGAGTGACACATTGAACTTGACACGATGAACCTGTGCTTTCAGCGTTAGCAAAAAACAGTTACGCTACTGTGAAGCCGCGTTCGTCGTGTCAAACACTAACTTCTTAGTGGCACTAATGCGATTCATTGAACCTGGCACTTATGCGAACGGTTTCACTAAACAAATACACCAGAGATAATACAAGTTCCAGCGTTTGGGTTATCGGTTATCGCGGCTGTGAGACCCACTCTATTCAATGTGCAAAAGAAAGGGAGCGGAACTTGTATGGTGGCGAAGGTAAACTATCGTATAAATATTAAAAGTTACAATTCAAATGATCTGGTAAACTGAAAGACACTATTTAACTCAATTTTAAAAGAATGGGTAATTTGTGTGACTAATTGCGCTAGAATATAGTACAAACCATCCTGTACGAGGTGAAGTTTTTTTGTTTTGAAACCGAATTTGACAAAACCCTTGGTTTCAACTGAAGCCCATATGCCCAAATCGGTCCGATGAAGCAACAGACATCCAGCTGCAGGAACGAGAACTATGTGGTTCGGTAACACGCACCTGACCACTTTCCCTGGAAAGCGGCCGTTTAGTCAAGTACACTAATGACCGATCGGTTCTCTGGGATGGCGCCTCAGTGCCCGCATGCAATGAGGCAATTATCAGTGCTTCTCAGAACAGTGCATACATCCGAATGGGGATGCAGTGATGCTAGAAATTAAGCTGATCGTGTTGTTGTCGGTTAGTGGCAGTGACACGGATAGGTGCACTGGCATTGACAAGAAAGACGTGGAAAGAATATGGCTGTAAGGGTAAAGGGAACGAACGAACGAACGAACGAACGAACGAACGAACGAACGAACGAACGAACGAACGGAAGAAAGAAGGAAAGAATAGATGCATGAACGCGTGTATTTACGTGTGTCTGCATGTGTATCCTTGCATCCGTCGAAGAGCAAGTAGCAACTACTCTATTTCGCCCCAACCACCCACAAATTGATCAGTAAACGCAACAATTATAGACGAGTGGCTTTTACTCGTTCGCTCATTTACGGATCAACAGATACCGCGCATAGCGGAACTGCAAACAAACGCATGGCATTGGTACACACACACGCAGTCAAGTAAAAGTTAAACGAATGTCGGACACAGGACAAAGCCGCTAGCTACATCTTTATTGTTTAAATCATGTGCAGCGAACCCGGGATGTACATGTGCTGTGATGGGCAAAAAAAAACGAGGACAACTTGCTTCATTAGTTCTCGTCATAAATACATAGATGAACTAACGGAACAAAAGAGGGAAAGGTGTAGACTAGCGATAAAGAAAATCATTTGTGTACGGCTTTAGAAAAAAACAATTCGATCGCCCAAATAGTAGGTGCATTGGCTGGTCTTTTTGTGTGTGGAAATATAACATGATGGAAGTCGCAACAAGGTGCGAACGGATTTTCTTTTATTACACACGCAGTGATTTACAGCAAAAGGAGTAAACCCGATATACCGATATACTGTAAGGAGGTATTTGGGGGAACATTTAAGTAAGAATCGACTTGTTATTCCTGCTTTTGAAAAGGGTAAGGTTGTAAAAGCTAGGAAACACGGAAATGGGAAGTGTCCCACAACTTCGTAATCCTTGGGGGAAAAAGATCGAAAAATAGAAGTCCGACATCTGGGGACAGAAACCTGACAAGGGTGACTGCCCGCCTAAGAACGAGATGGACGAGAGAAGGTCGACGAAAGCGGAATAGCTGAAACGAATTCGGAAGAGCAGAAACCAAAATAGTAAAGATAGAAAAGAGATAACGAAGCAACTGCCCGGTGATGGAAAAGCGACTGTAGGTTGGAAGTTAAAGACGGTTCGTTAATCATCCGAACGGCCTGAGATTGAACACGGTCGAGAGAGAGAACGGAATACGAAGCTCCAACCCATACGTGACTTCAGTAGTCGCGTATCGGTCGGATTGCATTATTGTGCCGAACTGTGACATGAATGAATTCCCGTTAAACTTTTATGAGCTTTTCTATTGTGTTAGTGATGTGACTGCAAGATTGACAATTAACGAACAGGAACCCATACGACCACTCACTTAAGTAGGCATCGACGATGCGCCATCAGCCCTTACACAGCCTGCTGTAATCATTAAGATAATTTAGGCTAGATAACTATTTCAGATGGCAGCACAAATCCACAATACTAAGTGTAACCATATAGTAGAGAAGAGCAGTTCAGTTTAAACAACAATTATGCATGCATTTCCGTGCGACGCTTTTGGTTGCTGTCTTTTGGCTGCCCAATTGGGTGAACAATAGGAGGAAAAAAGGAAGATTGAAAGTAGGATCGAAGAGAAAATTGAAAAGTTCAGTGGACTAATGAAGCAAAGAAATTGAGATGCACGAACGTCACTGTTTATGACACCCAGTCATATCTCTTAGTGTCTCTAACCATCGGCTACGACCATCTCGAGGTCCTCAGCCAGGATGCCTAACATACCCTCCATTAATCAAAGGTGCGTCGCTTGCCAAGATTAAACAACAGAACAAGGTACAGTACAAATGAACACGTCAGTTGAATTGATCGAAATAAGGGACAAGAGAAAAAATGGTCTCAGGTCACAAATAGTCGACTACGGCGAAGATTCATTCGAAAGTGCACTCTACTCCACTTTATTCCATGTTGTGGTCAGTGCAGCTGAAGTGCCCACCTGCATTTCTGTTGTTGTTTAACTTTTATGGCGTGATTGGAGCTTACAATATTTCCATACTCCCTATCACCCGTTGTGCATCAAATCGCCTTCTCCAGCACAGATCAGAGGAAACAAACAGCTCGGCATGAGAGATGATGAATTTGCGTTGTGGGTGTTCGAAAGGACAAGTCTAACCATGCCGATTCAGTAACAACGCAAGCGTCCGTAATACGCTAAATTACGTGCTCCACAACCGCTCCCTCCATTCCATTTGCGGTAAACCACACAGTCACAGACCACTGAGAACTTCAGTCGATACATACCTTCCAAACACAAAATTGAGTGCGCATAGGAGTGGAGCAGAAATAATGAGACTGTAGCCCAAAATACAAGGTCTTTCAACCTTAGCAAAACGTGAGTTCCGGAGCCCATATAGTTCAGCCTGACACAGGCAGCCATGTTGTTGCATATGCATGATGCCACTGCTCCGTTAAGCCACAACCATACGAGTAGATAGAACACTCGATCAGTCATTGCTGACGATCGAGCGTCAAAACGGGGATAGTTGATATCCATTGGATTCGAAAACGCAATTCGACTGGAGCAACGATTATATTCACGACTCATTGTGTTTGGGTGGTGCACTCTTAATGCACATCATTCGCTGGACGGTATTTGTCAATCGTATACCCGCCCCCGAGGGAGTGCAGTTTTCCCCAACCATCCCGCTGCCTTGCGAGTCAGGCTTTGGCTGTGAATCGACCAAGAAAATTCACATGCCTTGAACTGGGAAACCTGACAGTATTCCGCTCACATGCAAACCATGGAACTTCTTTCTTTCTATAATGATTGTTGCACCGTGATTTGTTTGGCACACAGTCTGGACTTGGACGTGTGTGAAATATAATAATTGAAAAAAAATTGTCAATCGCCGAAGTTGCGCACCAGTGTGGCAAGTACCCGAACAGCATATATGCTCATACTATGTAATTTTACTTACCAGTGTTCATGAACTTTCCTGTCTCAACTTGCTTACACATGCAGTTTCCATTTTCAGCTTTGACAATCATTGACTATGCATCGCCGCGGATTAGACTGATGAACCATAGATACCAAGACGATAGATCTTCACGAGGAACCACATTTTCGCAAACCAGGCACCTGCGAATCGATTACGGTGTTGAAGATTCTATCACCGACAGTGGCGTATTCCTGGGAATTATCACTTAGGCGGACGGACTGAAACGACCTCACGGTTAATGATTGTCGATCTCTTATTTCACTTTGATCAATAGGAAGACTAACGGTTCGTGTTGTTCTGTACACAGCGAAAGCTAGAAGCGAGGGGCGGCTATATTATGAACTTCCGTAAGTAGGAAGAAGTAAACTTAGGGATCGGCTTTAGCTAGTTCTGATCAGCTTCCTATTTGGAATCAAAGAGATTAAGATTGGCACTGATTATAGACGCTGAGGAAATAGGAATCGACGCCGCCGTAATCTATCGAACTCTCGAGTCGCACAAAAATAATGAGAAAAGTATCAAGAAGTAAACGGCAAAACCAGACAAGAAAAGCAGTTCATGCCGTTTTCCTTCATTCGACAGGTTCCGCCAAGGGAAGACCCTTGAAAGTGGCTTTTTGTTACAGGTGTGGAAATAAAATTTCATAAAATATTATTCCAGGTTTAAATAACACGAAATAAAATGTCACAGTTGCTGGTATAGGCGTGGCCCATCTACACCCCACACATTAGTTAAGTTTACTCCCAACTCGCAGTAATAAAGTAAATACTTCATTGCCTTATTAAGTGAATGGAATCCCCGACAAATGCAGAACAAGATGACTGTTTTTGATTAGAGTTTGTGAACGAGTTCCCGGTGTGTCAAAAAATCCAAAGTTGCTAAACTAGGGAAAGAGAGATCGGTTGGAAGTCAACATAATGACAGCAGACACTTACAGGTCAAATACCAAGTAGTGGAATCCTTCATCCTGAATACTGTCGTGAAGTCGCACTGTAAAAAAATACAACAAAATCAGATCACTATTAAGCTCAACAATCAACACCATAGAATAAAGTCTGGTCTATAACTTCTGCGCAATTTAGACGAAGCCAATCCATAGACGCACATACATGGAATCTCACCAGATTGTAAATCTACACCTCAAAACAGTTTGAATGTAGACGCTGACTACCAATCGTACAGTGAATTATTTTTTATTACACACTTTCGTGCGATAAACAGCAGACGGAGTTAACCCCACAGTCACGAGTACCTGCTGTTCAGTGATGGAAACCGATAATCTAAGCCCCGGGAATTGGAGTGGTGAACCGTATAAGGCCACGATAGGTTAGGCGTGGTATTGAACCGGAGGGCAGCAAAGCTGCTCACCATCAGAGTTGGGTGGTGGTGGAGGGGTTCGAACCTCGGACCACAGGGTCCAAAGCACGTCTGTGACAACGACTAAACCACTGCGCCACCACCACCCGTGATGAGCTAGGATCAGGAGGACGGTGAAGCGAGATGCAGTAAACTTCACCGATAGCTGACAATCTCGGTAAGAACACAGGTGTAAAGCAGATTGGGAATGTCTGTTTTAATGAAACGGAGATGAAAGTGAATCGCTGTGTTCAATACAGAGTACATCCTCGTCTAACAAAAGGAATCACAACAAAGACGCCACCACGCCTTCCATTGTTTACAATCAACAGGTTAAAGCCCTTAGGACCCAGTCTAGAAGACTAGAAGCGCGTGTTCGGTGCACATGGTATCTGTTAGCCAATAGGTGACTTCCTCAAACTTGGAGTGACGATCCCAGATAAGGATTGATGAACCACCAGGAGTGTCCGTATATTCCGACAGGTTGGTCACGTAATCAACGAATACAAAAATCCAGTTCAAAATATTAGAAACCCACCACCTACATCGCAAATGAAGGGGATAACGAGGCAAAAGAACCCGAATGACGTTCACGTGCATGTTCTTCATGACACATTTACGCGATGAATAGAAGGCGGGTTGGAACCAATCGTCACGAAGACCTGCTCTTCGGTGATGGGAGCCAGTAGCTCAAGCTTCGGAACTTCAAGTGGCGGACCACATAAGGTACTCCCAAATCAGGCGTGGTGTTGTTTGTGCATGTATATAGAAAGAGAAACTTTTTTGAAAGCTGTAGCTGTAGCTACCTATTCATAATGGAGCAAATGTGTCCAGATTATTATGAACAAAGTATTTACCCAGAAAGATAGTATGAAGAAAATAAAAATCGACAGAGTCAAGCAGTTAACTACGATAAGATTAATTGCAGTGTGCTTAATCAACCATTTGATTCGCAAGAAAGTCACGGTAGCGCAATCGCATCTCGCGTCTAGCTAAAACAAATTTCTTAGGACTGGAAGCACATACTCGGAATGATTACCACTCTCAAATGTCAAACATTACCTATATTTGGATGCTTCAATAGCCGGCAAATCCTTGCTTCTCGCTCCAGCTTTTGCATATCTAGAAAAGAAATATCAAATATCTAACGTAAACAATTATAAGATAAGAAAATTAAACGAAAACATCATTTTGCATTTCAGTAGAACAGAATTAAGAGACCTTCGGTTAACCTAATATGGGGGCGAACAAATACCCTTGCCATGTTCACTACGTCAGATTTTAGATTTTATTTTTTAATTTTGTTTTTTTCGTAAGATTGTTGATCATCCTGTTTGTCTTTCCACTTACTCAAATTGTCCGCACTTCAAAAGGCAGTCAACAGTGATTCTGGTTCAATGATCCCCCTTTACAGATGACTATGGGATTAACCTCTTACAATAAAAAAACGTTTGGTAAAAAAACAGGCTTGTCGGAATTTCGGAGCGGATTGTCAAAATGTGTCAAGACTGTGGTGTATGGCTGTATATTTACTGAAAACATTGTTTACTTTTGTGAGTGATCGATATAGTGGTCCCAATCAAACCGAAGCAACTAATTCAACACAAAGATCCTGTCAAAAGTAGAGTCCCTTTGTGGTTCCTAATGCGAATCCTTTTCGCGTAGCACGGGTGATACTAAAGTATACATGGGAAATACTGGATCCACCGCCGGCCATCTAGAGAACCACTGTAACCATCAAATAAACCTCATATAATCCAGGACAAGCAAATGCAAAAAGACTAATCTTCATTGAAAACGCCGGATTTCGCAAGTCAATGAATACCAAAAGCGTAATGATCTCACAACCAACAGTTGGAGCTGGGTATCAGCGTCTTTCCCATTAATGGATATGTAATGCATATTAGAAGAGCCTATTAGTGTGATACGGAGACAGCCAACAGATTGCGCGGTGAGTTAAGTGCATACGGCGCGATATTTAGTCGGATAACCGTGAAGCTGCCTACCCCAGTGAAATCTGGCAGAAAACACTTAGCTTTCAACGAAAGATTTATCCTGGTTGGATTGAAAGATACCAATATTTCCGTTAGAAAAGACAAGTTAACGCACGACAACGGAGTAAACAGCCTGAATTCTGACTGCTCACCTATCAAAGAAATCAGCTCATAATTGACTCGTGGGCGGAATACCGCCAAATTTCCCTGGACAAAGTCAGAGAATTTACGGGAAGAATCTGGCTTAGGTAAAACCTGACCCGAGAAGCACGGGGAGGTGATTACCAGTTTATCCGATGATACACACTTTGAACGACGTCAGATGTTTACGGTGCGCAACACACCTCCATACTTAATCAGGTTGTTCGCCTCACTGTATTTTCCTGTACGATTAATCAAGTTGATGGCAACTGTCAGATACAGAACCCGGACTTCCAGATATCAGTTTTTACAATCATGCATTTCTATGCACCGGTTTGGGTTACTTTCTTTTGGCTACCCATTTAGATAAAAGAGCAGAAGTACGAAATGTTGCGATCCGAGTCAAAAAAAAGACAGAAAATCACACGGACTACGGTTGCAAATAGTGAGATGCACGAGCGCCACCGTTTGCGACAGCCATACCACGCACTTTCTAACCACCGGCTAGCATGATCTCGGAGTTCCCATCCAAGTAGTCCAAGGGGACCGATGTGAACCAGTGCCCTGGTTAGGGTTCTCATAACCTCACGCCAGGTCTTAGTTTGACCACCCTTGATCTTGTTCCATTCGCTGTCTGCCTCAGCAAACATCGTGCGCCGTGGAAACCAATTCGGTGACATACATAACACATACCCTAACCAACGCAGTCTATGGAGATCGACCACTTGCTCCAGTAATCGACCGCCGTTATCGAAAGCTGCGCTTAACCTCAGCATCGTTTGTTCGGTTCCCCCACCAGACTCGTGTAAAGCGGCGTGGACAACGGTGTTCGACCACCGACAGTGTATTATTTGTACTCGTAATGACCAATCCTCTGCACTATATCGCAGGACTCGACGAATTGCTACAGCATATACTCGACCCTTACCAGAAATCGCGACGGTACCACAGATGTCTCCAGTTCCCAAATGCCAACCGAACCTTCTGCATGCGTGCAGACAGTTTAGTGCGTCCGCCAGGTTAGATAGCCCAAATAAAAAACTTGTCCACTTCCTCTACATCTTCCCCAGTTAGGTAGGTTGGGGGCTGGATTAAATAAATTCTGTAGCAGCATTTTACACTTTGATGGTGCAGAAAGCATACCAAACANACCAAACATCGATACACTAGCATTCAAACTATCCGCAGAAGCCTGCAACTCACCTGGACCCTCTCTAAGTAGCACAAAGTCGTCAGCATACTCCAAATCAGACAGCCTACCACCTGTAAGCAAATTGATATCGCTTTCCCCGTGCGACAATACAGCCGTTTCAAAAATAAACCTATCAAGAAGTTGAATAGAAACAGAGGTGACCCTGACAAACACCACGTTTCGTAGTGAAATGGGGCGAAAATATGCCGCAAACTCGGACTCGACCTCGGCTGTTAGTACAAAGAGATCGCAGAGCTTGGACAGACCCTTCTAGCAGCGCCAGAGTTAAGAGCGGACGACTAAATCAAAAGTCACTTCCAGATCAAGGAAGATAGAAATGCTAGGTATAAGCAAAGGGGGCCTGTGTTTTAAAATTAATCTAAGGGTGGAAGTGTGGTCTGCACAATCTCTATACAACCAGGTTCAACACCATCCTGCTCACGCGTAAGCCGTTCACATGCGGCCGACAATCGACGGAATACATTACCAGCGAGAAACTAGGAGACATTTTTGATCAAACTAACCTCCTTGTGGTTTTCATAAGGAGGTCTGTCGCTTTTCTAGTAAATCGGTATAATTATCGAATCACACGATTCAGTTGAAACCTCTTTTCCTTTATCGTACTAAGCCCTAAGTTAGCTCGAAACAAACCCAAACGAAAGAAACGGAAAGAACGGTAATGTGGAGTATAAAACAACCAGTGCTTGATATGGACAGATAGATATCGCACAATATATCTGGCAACCAAACATTTTAAATCCAATGCTTGCACAACGCCAACAACATTATATCCTGGAATAATTGAAGCCACGTAAATCATACATACGAAAACCCGATACAATACTTAATCCAAAAACTCCGTTATGGTTAGGTAAACTTACCTCTAGAAGAAAGTCGTTTGGTATTTATTATTTTGGATGCAAATTCCAAACCCGTAGATAGCTGGATACATCTTCGTACAATAGAAAATGCACCCCTTTTCAAATAAACAAATTACTGAGCACAAAAACTACCTTCCCAGCTCTTCTTTTAACTCATAAAGGTCGGAAAACTTTGGCAAACCCGATGTAGCCATTTTCTCACGGAAATTTAAAAACCCCGCGTTAATCGAGTTCAAAATAACAATAATGCGACCTCAATTCTCCTAATTCAGTTCAGTTCAGTTCAGTTATCACACGACAAATCGTTTCGCTTCCCAGTCACGCATCCGTTTCCTTCTGTCGTCAGCAGTTTGGTGGGCTTCCCATACATCGAGGCAATATTATTTTTTGAACCTGAAATTGTACTCGAACAGGCGACAGAATTTCGAAAGTTGCGGGGGGCTGTAGAAACACTCAGCAAAACGGTTGCTTGGCTCGAAGAAGACAGTGAAATAGCCTTAGGTAGACAACGCAACGTTGTAATCGAAGGGATAACCGAGCCGTTCAAACGGGAAACTTGCCAAAGGAGAGAACTCCGGCAACGAGTAATTGATCTCCTGCATCTAGTTGGCACCCCATGACACGCCCTTATCAAGAGGACCTTGAGGCTGGGAAAGTGGAACCCCAACCCGAGGGACAACCACGTCCATCCTGTACTAGTTGAATTCGGCAACCCCCGCTACAGAGATAGTGTAAAGGCGCACTGGCTCCGTTCACGCGTGGCCCTGGTTAGTTAAATAGACGGTATTACGGACCCCCG